TCTCCAGGCTCTCTGTGCTTTATCTCCTGGGGCTGACAGCTCCCTGCTCCCCACAGTCTCCAATTGCCCGCCCTTCCTTCCCTCTGCTTCCACGCACACAAATGCACCAGAAACCCCAGTTCCCAGAAGAACGATTTTCCCAAATTAAGTTATCATGAGTTATGTGAACCCCAGGCTCTGAGAGCCAAAGCGAGACTGGCTGGCTGCCTTGTGCCCTTTGCTTCCTGCTTAAAGAACCAAGTCCCCATAAATTTCTTCCCCGTTCTGCATTTGCTCATTTTAAGCCATTTTGCTTCTCTTTCTATTTGAAGCAGAGAGCTGTCCTGAGGGAGACAAGGTAATGTTGTCTCGGAAGAAGTCTCAGGCCTGGAACTCAGACAGAAAGAACTGGGTTTGAATGTCAGCTTCCTCTTAACCAATTAACAATGGCTGTCTCAGGTTTTTCATTTGTAAAATGAGAGTGATAACACATACACACACACACACACACACACACACGTACATGCACATACACACATATGTACATACACACAGTGGAGTGGTGGTTTGAATACAAATGGCCCCCAGAGGGTCATATATTTGAATGCTTAGTCACCAGGGAGTGGTACTACTTGAGAGGGATTCGGAGGTATGGCCTTGTTGGAGAAAGTATGTGATTGAGTTTTCAAAAGCCCAAGAGAGATCTCTCTCTTCCCGCTGCCTGCAGATCTGGGTACAGAACTCTTGGCTACTTCTCCATCATCTTGTATGCATGCATGCCACCATACTCCCTGCCATTATGATAATGAACTAAACCTCTGAAACTGTAAGCAGGCCCCAATTAAATGTTTTCTTTTATAAGAGTTGCAGTGGTCAGGGGCTGGAGAGATGACTTAGCAGTTAAGAGCACTGGGGGCTCTTTCAGAGAACTCAGGTTCAATTCCCAGCACCCACATGGCAGCTTACAACTGTCTACAATGCCTGTTCCAGGGTACCCCACACCCTCACATAGACATGCATGTGGGCAAAACATCATTATGCATAAAATACAAATAAATAAATTATTTTAAAAAGTAATATTTAAAAAAGAGTTGTAGTGGCCATGGTGTCTCTTCAAAGCAATAGAATCATGACTAACGCACACTCACACACAAACATGATCAGAAGGAAATAAATTTAAAAATTAAAGACGTGAAAAATTAAAATCCAGGAATGGTGGACGTGTATGTCTGAACCTCCATAATTTAGATTAAGGAAGAATATCAGGGATTCAAGAAGACTTTGATCACACAAGAGATATCAAGGTCAGTCTGCAAGAGACGCTGTTGCATTAAAAAAAAAATTGTGCTATGCTCTGCTCCCCTCACTCTGAAGACGGTCTGTCATGAGAATTCCCTTTGGAAACAGTGTCTGTACCTTCCTTATTCCCCCAAGGACAAACCAAAGCACAATGGATCAGTGAGTCTGATGGAATGACCAGTGCATTGCTGTGGCAGGAAGCAGTCAGTGTTTGTCAGTCGGTTCTTTGCCGGTAAGAAACGATCAGCTTAGAAAGAGAGAATGCTTCTTTTGGCTCACAGTCTGGAAGGTTCCAGTCTGTGGTGGGTGTGCACTACTGCGTTTTGGACCTGTGGTGATGTGGTACTTCATGGTCTGAGTTGAGCTTGTGGTGGAGGAGGGCAGCTCAAGTCATGGCTAAGCCTAAGAAAGAGGAAGAAAGTGGTGTCCCACCGTACCCTTTGAGGATACCCCAGTGACCTAAAACCTCCCCCAAGCCACACCTCTTTGAGGTATCCACCACTGCCTAATATCACTGGGCTGAGGACTGAGTCTGTAACACATGGGTCTATGGGGGCATTTAAGTTCTGTAATAGTTAATGTTGGTTGTCAACTTGACAGGACCTAGAATCACCTAGGAGACAAGTCTCTGGGCACATCTGGAATCACCTAGGAGACAAGTCTCTGGGCACATCTGGAGGAAGTTTCTAGATTGTGTTAACTGAGGTGGAAAGACTCGCTCTGAATGTAGGCAATGTCATTCCATATAAGACCTGCCCCAAATGTGGGCAGTGCCATCCCATATAAGACCCACCCTGGGGGGTTGGAGAGATGGCTCAGAGGTTAAGAGCACTGGTTGCTCTTCCAAAGGTCCTGAGTTTAATTTCCAGCAACCATATGGTGGCTCACAACCATCTGTAGTAAGATCTGGTACCCTCTTCTGGCCTCAGGCATATGCCCAGGCAGAACACTGTATACATAATAAATAAATTTTAAAAGAAAAGGCCCACCCTGAATGTGGGCAATGCCATCCCATGTAAGACCTGCCCTGAATGTGGGTAGCACCATCCCACATAAGACCCACCCTGAATGTGGGCCGTGCCATCTCATAATAGATCCTCCTTGAATGTGGGTGGCTCCATCCCATGGACTGGGATCCTGGACTGAATGAAAAGGAGAAAGCTAACTGGGCACCAGCATTCATCTCCCTCTGGTTCCTGCCTGTGAATGTGATGTGACAACCAATGTCTCAGTCCTGCCACCATGCCTTCCCCACCATAACGAACTGTTCCCTTGAACTGTGAGCCAAGCAAGCGCTTCCTTCCTTAAATTACTTTTGTTGGGTATTTTTTTTTTGGAAGGAATGAGAAAAATTATGAATACAAGGTCCAAAGCAGGTAGCAGCAGCAAGGAGTAGGCAGGAGAGTGATGGTGGAGCGTGCCTGCACAGTTGCCCTGATCTTGGAGGAGGGGAGAGGCATTTCTGGTAAGGAAAGAGATGCAGGGGTGCTGTAGGGCTAGGGTGGGGGAGAGGTTCTTCTTTCTTTATGGTTTCTTTCCTCTACCCCACGAAAAAGAGAAGTCACAAGCTAAGGATGAGGAATCAAACTGAGATGAGAATATGCTGGTGCTGCCCTGAGCCACATGGTACAATGGCTTTGCCCCAGAGTGGGGAGGGCCTTCCTGAGCCAGAAAAGTATTGTGGCTTGCTCTGGCTCCATTCAGTGCTTGGGCCCTGGTCTAAGAAGAGTTGAGATTTCTTCCAGAAGTCACTGGGCAGAGGAGAGAGCATCAGAGTTGAAGACAAGGGAGTAAAGGCAGGGTCTGCTGGGCAAGGAGGGAAGTGAGGCCATGGGGGTGGGGAATGATGAGCTGTACAGAAGCAGTAGGTCAGAGGGACTAAGGAACTGTGAGGGGCATGCCCCTGTGTTCCGGTTTCAGTCTCATTGCAGGGGAATTAAAAAACTATGAACAGTTCATTCAGTAAATACTGAACCATCTAAAACTTAGAGAATGGCTCAGAAGGGAAAGAGAGGATCCCAGAACCCATGTAAAAGCCCAATGTGGTAGTACACGTCTGTTGTGGAATATTGGTTTACACTGTGTGAAGATGTGTCCCTGTGGTTGGTTTAATAAAGAGCTGAATGGCCAATAGCTAGGCAGGAGAGACTAGGTGGTACTTCCAGGCAGAGAGAGGACTCTGGGAAGAAGAGAGGCAAGGAGCCAATGAGATGTGGAACAAGTAGACATACAGAATGGGAGAGGGGTCAAAGGCATGTAGCTGGAGAGATGCCTCAGTGGTTGGGAGCACTGGCTGCTCTTCCAAAGGACTCAGGTTCAATTCCAGTACCCACGTGGCAGCTCACAACTGTCTGTAACTCCAAGATCTAACACTCTCACACAGACATACATGCAGGCAAAATACCAATGCACATAAAGTAAATGAAATTTTAAAAAAAAGAGACGTGATACAACGTAGATTAATAGAAACAGGTTAACTTGAGTTATAAGAGCTAGAAGGGCCAAGCCTAAGCTTAAGGCCAAGCTTTCATAATTAATAATAAATCTCTGTGTTATTATTTGGAATTGGCAGCCCACGGGAAAGTATGATTACATTTGGTGCCTATGTGGGGCGCCAAATGATGTTTTGCTGTCAGCTTAGCAGCTATGCATGAATCTACTAATATTTTAATGATTGTCTGCAGCCCCACAGCCCCACAGTCAGTGGCCTGACAGCCAGGCCTTCCTGTCCCATGGCCCCAGCTTTGCTGTGGCTCCTATATGTAGGCTTAAACGAAGTCTCTATCAGTCAGTCTATTTACCAACAAAAACAAAAAGTCAGATGTGGGGCTAAAAACCTGCTAGACCAGAAAAGCCAAGAAAAAACCAGGGCAGGGTGAATAAGACAGGTGAAGTCTTGTGTTTACTGGCCTGCCATTGTAGCCCTAAATAGTAAGACTTGTTTCAGTGAGAGATGCTGTCTCAAAGGATTAGGTGTGTGTGTGTAGGGGGGGGGAATGGAAAGATGACTCAGCAGGTAAAGGCACTTGTGGATAAGCCTAACGACTTGACTTTGATCCCTGGAGGAAAGGTGGAAAGAGAACCAGGTCCTGAGAGTTGGCCTCTGACCTCCACATGCACACACACCACGGTACCCCCCTGACCCCCACTAATAGATAAACAAGGTGGAGAGCAATCCAGGGAGGTACCAGGTGTCAAGTTCTGCCCCCCACATTTACTCACACACACAGGCGCACGTATGCATAGGCCACTCGAACATGGGCATGTGCACATGTGCACACACACCAATTGAAAACTTATAATTAACTGGATGCCTATGATGTACCAGGCACCGTACCAAACACTCCAGATTTGCTGTCTCTCATTTAGATCTCATGATCATCCATTGAAGCTGGTACTGTTATTGTCCCATTGTTCTGAGTCTCAGAAAGATCTAAAACCTCTTCTGGGAGGAGGGGTGTATGATGCAGTGAGGGTTATGCTACCTCAGTGTGCTGGATTCATGTTATTGTGGCTCTCAGCTGAGTTACTCCACAGACTCAACCCCACCAACAGACAGGGGACCTGATCTTGACTGCCCAGTGGTTGAGCTGGGGTAGCATGATTTGGGGGAGGGCTGGGAAACCCTTCCTATTTTGCTGAGTGTAGCTACCCCATTCCAAGGCAACTTAGCTATAAGTCCAGGGCTTCGACTCCAATCAAAGAAAGTTTGCAAGGAGGGGAGAAAGGAACAGAACGAATTTATTTTGGCAACCTGAGCTCTCAAAGGGTCTCTGGTCACTGTAGCTTCCTGTCACTCACAAGTTAGTCACCAGCCTTTCAGGAAGCTCCTCTGCTGCTAAAGATAGCTCCTTGACCAATTGAGCCATACCCCCAGCTCTGTCGGTGGCCTTTTAGACAGTATTTATGTTACATTAATGGATTAATCATGTGTCTGGGCACAAGTGTGGAGGTCAAGGGACGATTTCCAAGATTCAGTTCTCTTTCTGCCATGTGGGTCCCTGGAACAGAACTTAGGTCCTCAGGTTCAGAGGCATCTTTATCCTTTGAGCCATCTTGCTGCTCATCAGTGAGTTTCTAAAGAGCTGATCCCAGACTCAACCAACCTGGAGGGAAACCCTCTTAAATTTAATGCTCCTCAGAAACCATGGGCAAAGACCAAAAGGAAAAGAGTTGCAAGCCCCACAGTGATTGTTCCTGAGATCGGTGTGCACTGAGTATGGCCAGGGCCAGAGAGAGGAGGTGGAGACACAGAGGTTAAGGAGGCTTTCTCTCAAAGTTGTGTGCATACAGGGTCAGCTCTTCAGTCACTGGCAGAGCTGGGGGTGGGGCTCAGTTGTCTAGTGTGAAGGAGGCCCTAGGTCCTAGCTCCAGGCTGCATAAACCAGGTGTGGTGGTTTATGCTTGTAATCCCAGCACTCAGGAGGTGGAGGCAGGAGGATCACGAAGAGTTCAGGGTCATCCTCCACTACACAGCGACGCTGAGACCGATCCAGTTCCGAAAGTCACTGACAAAGATCAAATCAACTGTCTCTAGGTGAGTGTTTCTGGGCCAGTGGAGAGCTTTCTAGTCCAGGTGACTGTTTGGGGACCGTGGCATTCTCCACATGGTGGCTCTGTCATTGCCCCACACATCATGGTCATCACAGGGTCAAGGTTGGGTGTAGCCCACAAGGAGGAAGAATGGGGAGGGTGTGCCAGCTGACTTCACACCTCAGCCTGAGGTTTCATGCCTTCGTGTCCACTGCTGAGAAAGAGGTACCCAGCTGGCTTTCGGTCTTTGTCACACATGAGTCATGGGGTGAGGGTATGGCAGCCATGTAACAGGGAAAGGGCCACTGATGGACAACTAGTAAATCCCACCAAGTCGCTGATCACGGGGAACCTAATTTCCAGCAGGTTCTATTCTAAATGATACTAAAGGTCGCCGGATAAGTCTCTAGGGGGCTCAGGGAAAGAAAGGTGCTCACGGGCTGGAGTAAGTGGGGAAGCAGAGGAGACAAGGGAATGTTGCCCAGACAGAGCATCCCGCGGTAGCAGGAAAGGGCCGGAGGATAGGACCTGGCATCCTGTTTTGGGCTAGCTCAGGGCAGGAGGCTCACTGAAGTCCATCATGAAGAGTGGCAGGCTTGCCGGTCAGTTGCCTGGGATCTCCTACTAATTGTACATGACCTGCGGTCTCTGCAGGCTCCAGACTAGACTACAAGGTGGGAAGCTGGCTGAGGAGGGGACTCTGTGCCGCTATGGGGAAGCAATCATCTGTGCTGAGGTAAGACTTTCTGGGGGTGTGGCTGTTGGGGTCTCCTCCCCACACTTCTGTAAATAATCCCTCATCCATTGTGCTGGTCGGTTTTTGTCAGCCTGACACAAGCTAGAGTCATCTGGGAAGAGGGAGCATCAGTTGAGAAAATGCTTCCTCCATTAGATCCGCCTAGAAGCAAGTCTGTGGAGTCTTTTCTTGATTAGTGATTGATGTGGGGCGGGCCCCAGCCCACTGTGGGCCGTGTTTCCCTTGGTCAGGTTGATTGGGTTGTGTAAGAAAGTGCACTGAGCAAACCAGTAAGAAGTGTTCCTCCATGGCCTCTGCTTCAGTTCTTGCTTCCAGGTTCCCAGCTTGAATTCCTGCCCTAGTTCTCAGCGATGGACCACGGAGGTATAAGCCCTTTCCTCCCCAGGTTGCTTTTGGCTGTGATGTTTTATCACAGCAATAGAAGGAAAACGATGACACCCATGTTCTGTAAGTGAGACCAATAAACTCATTGGTTCTCCAAGCTGGACTTGATGGAAGACACTTTGGTTGGTCATTGGCGCCTTAAGGGTGGCTTAGACATTTGTTCAAATGTTCCTGCAACACCCTGTTACAAAATAAGCAAGCAAACAAACATATTAATCACCCACAACCATGAAGATGCTCACAACACTATGAATGACAAAAAACAATAATAGCATGAACCTGACAGGGTCTTCTGAACCCCAACCGAGCAGCAGACAACCTTGGCCCAACACGGTGATATAGACAAGGCCAGGTACACTATCCCTAGCTGCCGCCGTTTATGTTCCAGAATAAAGCGATGCTGGAGTCGCAACCCACATTTTTCCATGCTGCATTCCGCGAAAACAGAGACAGAAACTGTGGCTGAAGCAAGCAGCATGTGGACCCATTGGAAGTGTTGCCAGCTGAAGGCCCCTGCAGGGGCTTTATCAGCAGGGAGACTGTGAGGATAATTCTGCTGCCCGGGTACCACCCTACTCACCAGCTGAGAAGAACCGTTTTCTATTCTCAAATGTTTGCGGGAGTCAGTGTAACAGTGGCTATAAAACTGCTTCAAAGACAGTGAAGTACCACAGGAAACGTGGCCATTATTTTATCTCTCTGCTCAGTGTCCGTTTCAATACAGAATGGATAACAAGATGTCTGTCTTCTGGGATTGTCATAAGGATCTGCTAAGAGAAACGATTTAAAAAAATATATGGAATTAAACAGGGAGAGAGTGCCTTGCTGTCTATCACTGATTGTATAGTTGGTCCCGTAAGACACCCCCCACTCCCACCCCAGTCGTCTCTTCTGCAACTGGGGATCGCATACTGCCCTCCCTACCAGCCTACTGGGAGCAGTAAGGGAGATGGCAGGAGTGAGTCCTTGGCGCGGTGCCCGGTCTTGTTAGATCTGCAGGTGCGGTGACGAACGCCACCTCCCACGGATCCCTACCAACAGCACAGCTGAGCTGTACCCCTCTGCCTCTGCTCAGCGCCCACGGTCAGGCCTTGGTGCCGGTATAATTAGCTCCATCTCGGCTGCTCATAGCCTCTGACACGACTGTCACCTCCCACTCAGTTCCCCAAATCAGTTATTCCCACCGCTGAGTCGATCAGGTGAGCGTCAACAGAGGACAGCTTGCTCCTTACAACAACGTGTCGCAAGGACCCAGAGCTCTCCCCCGAACCTCCTTCACCCTTAGGCTGTGTACAGAAATAAAAGAAAAAAAAAAAAAAGTTTGGGTGGGGAGCAGCCTCTAGTGTCTGCTGGGAAATCACGTTCCTTCAGACCCAATAGCCTGCAGGAGAAAGGCAATCTGTCTCTTTAAGAGGCCTCCGCGGAGGGGCGGGGCCGGCCGGCGACGCTCCAGCCCGCGCCCTCAGTTAGTCCCGCCTCCTCTTTAGTGACAGACAAACAGCCCAATGGAAGCAAGAATATTCAGCTTGACGGCAAAGAGGAGCAATAGGAGCCCGGGCAGGCCTGAGCGCGGGGCGGGGCCGAAGGAGGGCGGGGCGGACGAGGCCCGAGGAGCGGCGGCGGGACACG